GACTCTGATGGGGGCTAGGCCTTGGAGGGGCTGTCCTGAGACTGACGGATGTGTTCTCTGTGCCTGAGAAATCACAGTGATTTTTTTTTTTTTTTTTTAAACATAGCAATGCCCTGCAGAGTTCTACAATGGATATGAGAGAACAAAACTTGGGACGAAGGGGTTCTAGGGAGCTGAAGCTCAGGCCCTGGATGTGGAGAGAAAACAGCAGCTCTGAAAACAGAGAATACGAAGGACACTGGGCTAGGCGGTCAGCTGATCCTGAGCCTCCAGTGAGTGACCTTCTGTCTCCCTGGTTAGTGGTGGCACGAGGGCCACCAGGCAGAGGGCACCCAGCGGAAAATTCCCAGCTCCGGTCACCTTACGGAGAGAGGTATTCTTGATTGTGTGGCTCGGAGGTTTCCAGGGAGAAACAGAAAAATAAAAAGTGCTTTAATCCCTTTCTTTGGTCTGGACAGCGGCATGTGTGACAGGAGCCGGGTGGAGAGGACTGACCCAGATGACCCTGGTCTCCATCCATACGCATCAGAAACCTCGGATCTAGCCCACTGGCACTGCGGCTTTCTCCAAAGAAAATGTGCTCCTATTGATGATGCTGACACAGTCAACTTCCAGAGATGGATGGGAAGAGAGAGCCGGTAAAGCTGTATGCCTCAGATTAAAAAAAAAAAAAGGAAAGAAATGCTGATGCACAACTGTTAGCTTACTGGCAACCAAGTCATTTTCTTTGATGGTGCTGGTTCTGAAGCTGTGGCTGCTGAAGGGAAAAACAAAGCCCCTGACTGTCGCTCATTCATTCAACAATCATTTTGTGAGCATCTGCCACGGGCCAGCGTTGTACCAGCTGCTGAGGCACGGTGATCAAGACGACAGCTCTTGTCTTCATGGAGCTCCTGACAGAACAGTGAGCTAGCATGAGTTAGCATGAGGTAGCATGATCTGGAAACCATAGATCAGAACTCCGCTGACAGTGGGTGGGGGTGCAGGGTGCCCAGGAAAGCCCACAGGAGAGGTCACGTTTGAGCTGACCTTTAAAGAGGAATGACTAGATGCTCCCCAGCTGAGTGGCACAGGAGTGGGGAGGACCTGGGAGTGGAGAAGGCAGAGGCCACGCTAAGGCACAGGGCCTCCTCTCAGCCAGCATGGGGTTTCAAGCAGAAAGTGACAAGGTCAGGTTTTATTTTAGAAGGAAGGTCTTGGGGTGGGGAGGGGTGTGCTAATTATTTACAGTGCTGAGTAGACATTTATTTGGAAATGGTTTGCCTTCTGAATTGGTCATACCCCTTATTTTCAGTTCCCGGCTAATAACACTCCACCAAAAACAGCTGGGAAACTCCCTTCTCTCCCTTTTGGGGGGGTGTTCACATTGCAGTCTGGATTCTGGAAGTCGAATGATGATGGGATTGGGGTCACAAGGGAGTCCCGTGGAACATACTTGTCCTCAGATTGTACTGCAGACTCCTGATTCTGCCTTTTCCTTTGCGGTCTAACTGCAGGACCAGTGAGGGAGATTTCTACCTGTGATGCAGGTTGGCGAGCCCCTGGAAGCAGCACTCAGCAAGAGCATTCTGGGCTGAGTCTTCTGGGGCCCCTTCTTCCACATCCATTAAGCAACCCAAATACTAAGGACAATGGCTCTGAGTGTGAGAGCTGAACCCAGAGCGCCATTCACCTCCAAGGACCTTTTCCTCTAGGGCAGGGTTTCCCAGCCTTGGCACCACTGACATTTAGGACCAGATCATGTAGTTGTTTGCTGTGGGGGCTATCCTGGGCATTAGGGGATATTAAGCAGCATCCCTGGCCTCTACACACTAGTTGTCAGTAGCGCCCCCAAGTTGTGACAACCAGAAATGCTTGAGACACTGTAAGCATCCTTGTGGGGCAAGCTCAGCCCCCAGCTGAGAACCACTTTTCTACAGGACAGTTTTCCATTGTCATTTCACTGGACCTCGCAACAGCATTTAGCGCAACTGATCGCTCTTCCTCTTGAAACTTGCCTTCCTTGGTACACACTCCTTGTTTCTCTTCTAAGCCTCTGGCCAATTCTTTGGAGACCGCAGGGGCCTCTCCATCCTCTGCCTGGTCTCCAAGGGCTGCCATACCTCAGTGCTGGCACCTGAGCCTCTCCTCAGGATACTTTACACTGCCTCCCTCTCATCCAGCCCCAGGATTTTAAATACTTTCTATTTGCCAAACACTCCCAAATCCTGCCTCCAGCCCAGATCTCTTGTCTAAGTTCCAGACTCATTTCTGTTTGTTCTAGATGTCTCGTTGGCATCACAAGGTCCATCCATCTTCCTTCAAAATCCATGTCTCTTCTCACCCACATCTATTGGTTGTCCAAGCCACACATACAGGTTATCCTGATTCTTCCCTTTTTCTTACCTTCACAACCAGTCCAGACCAATCCCTGTCAATTCTGCCTTCAAAATACACCTTAAAATGCTCTGCTCCCAGCCCTCCAGTTCAAGCCATCATATAACCTAAATAACCAATAATGTAGACACCAATGACCTCAGTGGTTTCTTGACTTTCACCCTGCTCCCTTCCAGTCCATTCTCCATCCAGGGCAATCTTTCAAAAGCACAAGTCAGGTCATATAATTTGATTTCTTAAAAGGCATTGTATTGCACTTGAAAAAACACACAAAAAAAACTAAGTGTCTTAACATGGCCCCACCCCCTACCCAGCCTCCCTTGCACCATTCCTCTTTGTCCCCACCACGGCCCCACGCTGGCCATCTTCTGCTCACTCACTTGTGCCACCTTGGGGCCCCCACACATGCTGCTACCTTCACCTGGAGCACCATCCCCCAGCTCTCTCCATCCCGAGGGGACAGGCATGTCACTTCCTGATCCCGTCCTTTGAAGTCCAGTTTCCCTATGTATACTCATGGGATTGTTTATTGTTTGGCTCCCCTGCTGGATTAGAAGTGTCCTGAGGGAAGGAACTCTCAGTATCTCTTCTGCCCATTGCCATGTTCCCCATCTTAATACTGTGAGTCACATTCAGTGAATACTTTTTGGATGAATGACTATACACCTCTCATTTCCCTGATCAAACTGCATCCAGAAAATAATACTATGACCCAGAGAAATGAATGACTCTGAAGCAAAAAGACAACATTCCTGGAATGTCTGTGTCAGTGAAAACAAGCTTCCCAGTGGTGGTTCTTGGGAGCAGGAGGCACAGGGAAATGAGTCAGGCACCGGGGATCAGACCGTAACGAGGCTTGCTGATTTCCTCATTAGTGTTCCACACTTGTCCTAAGACTTTCCACAAATCGGGAGGGAACTCCCTGAGTGACGGACAGAATCACCCCAAAGCCATCAAAGAGGAAGAGCTGAAATTAGGGTTTTCTGGCAACACTGCCTTTCTGGGAGGTCTGAGCTCCCCAGAGGCCAGATGTCCAGGAAGGACAGCAGCACCCCAAGGTCCAAGGAGCCACAGAAGTGATGGGGCAACAGCTTCACCCAATATGTTGCCCAATGCTCTGCACATCACTGAAGCCCCATAAGTGTGGGTGAATTTCATAAGTAACTACAGAAACATTTCCTCTGTGCCCTGAGACATGGGAAGCCGAGTTTCTCCTCTCCGGCAGGTCCACAGTTACAAAGAAAGCATCTCACTTTGTGTTTGTGAAAATTCATGGGTGTGGCTGGTTGCAGAGTGTACTATAAATTGATGGCGCTAAGAAGCTCAGCCTTCGACTCATACGGAGAGTAGCTCACATCATAGCCTCTTCTGGTCTTTGAATGGCCCGCAGCTGTGGAGCTCGCGCCTGCAATTAAGCAACTCCGCATTTGCTAAGCTCAGGTTAGACCTACACAGCCAAACGAATCCCAAAATGTGGAGGCAAAAAATCCCAAACCACATTGGGAGCCGGGTTTGTGCAGCGGTGGGATTTATTTTTAACGGGCTTATTTATTGGGTCTTAAATCAGCCTTAACGAATCTGAAAGAGGAGTTTCAAGGTCCACGTGTTACGGCTCAAGGACGAGCCTGGGGCCCTGAGTCCAAACATACTGTGATTGGCTGCATGTTGCTAAACAACAAAAATAGCCCTGCAGCGGCTGTCCTTGCAGGGCTGCGGCCTTATTTACAAGGGGATCGCCCAGGCTCCCTAAGGAGCCGTCAATAAAACACTAACGGGATATAAACGATGACTTGCACCCACAGTAAAGTAAAAAGGTTGGGCTGAGGCAAACAATGGATTCTGGTAGGGTAGACGCTATTGAGAAAGATATTCTCTTGAATATATTCTTAGTCAAGACAAAAAAAGGAGAAGCCCCCATGAAAGGGCTTCCTGCTTGGAGACAGAAAGGTTCAGTGCTGAGAGGAGCTGCCCAAGGTTCAATATTCATTCAGAGGGGATTGACTGAGCATTTTCTGCGTGTTAGACCCTCAAAGATAGAACCCTCACAGATGGGGAGACAGGCTGTGCAGAAGCCTGGAAAAAGAGGAAGCCAGAGGTAGCTGCTGTTTTTTGGTAAAAAAGTCCTTGCCCAAGGATATGTTTATTGATTTTAGAAAAAAAGAGAGGGAGAGAAACACTGATGTGAGAAACATTGATCAGTTGCCTCCCATATGCTCCCTGACTGGGTATCGAACCTGCAACCTTTTTTGGTGTACAGGCAGATGCTCCAACTAACTGAGCAACCTGGCTGGGGTGGTAACTACTGTGTTTTTTTTGTGTGTTTTTTTTAAGAGAGGCTAGTATGTTGGGTAGTTCAACCATGCGAATATTTTGCTGCCCAGAATGATGGCAGAACTGGGGAGATAGGAAGACTAAATTGAAACTGAGTGGCAGCCACGGCCATTGATGGGCCCTGAGGAGTCCAGACTTGATTGTGAGACTTGCAATTAAGAATCCAGCAAGATGTGAAACCAGACAGAATCAACATGAGGACAGATGGAAGTCTCCAGGTTAGGATGGACTTAATGATACTTGCTTAATGAATGAATAAGTCTCTTCCACATGTCATTCCCTCTCTTGCTCACCTCGGATTCTTTGTAGTAGCGTTCTGGAATTTCATCGCAGGCGATATCAATAAAGCAAACTTCTCTCTCAAGGTCTTTGGCTTCGCTGTCAAAAATCTGAAAGAGCAGAGCAAGAGATCAAAGGTTAGTGACAGCCTCAAGGTGCCCACGGGATAGAACAGCGCCCCATGGAGCATCTTCACATGGCTCAGTGCCCCTGGCTGTTGCCTTCTGGGGCCTCAGAATGTGCAGGAATCGTGAAAGGCTTTTATTCATTGCCTGTGTTTCGTCACATCAGAGGCAGGTGTAGCATCAATCACCGCTGGATAGAAGAGAAGGAAGGTTGTTTTCAGAAGTTCAAGAATGAAGAAATAAATATCTTCCCAAAATGACTGCTGATTTTTGGCAGGTAATCTGAACAGGGCTCCGTGAAGGGGCTAAAAAGGGTCTGGGCTAGATACAGGACTTAAAAGCAGTAATATAACCCAAGAATTAGAGAATTTAAAAGTGTGAGGGTATTTTTTTCATTAAAAACTTTCTATTTAATTTCACAAGGAATGCATGCTCACTGTAGAAAATACAGATAAACAGTAGAAAGTAAAGACTGTCCGAAATCCCAGTACCCGGGGCTACACTCAGTGGTATTCTCGATCATTTAAGAGCATGGTTTCCTTGGTACATGGAGGGGTAAGAAGGTAGAACCTTGAAAAGGTACTGAGATGGCTTCCTGCCAGTCTACTCCAGGTTTCACGGCCCACAATATCCATCACTTGCATAGAAATATGTAAGATGGCCACATATACGGATACAAAGTTTGGTGGAAAGATTACCTTCCTCTAGTTTTGCCACTTGCCATTTTCCTGGACTAATGTGATCACCTTCCCAGACCTTCAGAAGGATGGTAAACAGATTAAGTTTGCAAAACCACTCCATCCTGGCAGGAGGTTTTAACTGTACCCCCTCCCCCCACTGTTGAACTAATTCCAGCTGGGGAATCATCCGTTAGCACTAATTAAATCTGACTCTTCAGCAGGGAATGAAATATTTTGGAAGAACAGGGTGGCTGATGCCTAGGAACATTGTCTTGACACAAATTTGGTGCCTATTAATAACATGATCTCCCAGGAGGGCAACTGCAGGCCCTCCCTGCCTGCTACCTCTCCCTTGCTTGGCTTCTCAGGTTGAAACAATAAGTCCTTTCCGAATAACATTGGTGCTGGTAATTAGCCTCCAAGTCTGCTGTTTGCTCTGTAGCTAATTTTCTTTTAAAATGGTTGGAGACCAGGCTCTTTCAGATTTGTCCAAGGAGTTGAACTCCACGGTTGGATCTGAGGTGGCCACTGCATTTTCCTTAGAGGCAGAGAAAGATGGGCTCCCGGATCAGCTCTGATTCCCTCTCCACTGCCACCCCAAGCCAAGTGCTTTGGGACATTCCTACAGTGTTTGGGAGGGGCAGGTGGATTGCTTTGGAATGAAAGAGAGAGACGGTGGGGAGACAGGTTCAAGTTTGAGTGGAAAAGTGTCTTGTGGAATGAAATACTGGGTCTCAGGTTGTTTGTGTGAGTGTTTTCCCTCCTTTTCATGCATGAGTCTCTCTTAAGTGTGTGCCAAGAGAAGAAAGATGCGTGCCTCATTAGGAAAACAAAACAACATGGAACACCCCAGAGGGAAATGAGCTTCTGGAGAGTAAATTACAAAGGAAGTTAGAGCTGCTTGACATTTATTGGTGGTAAAAATTTATGGCACTGAAAGAAGGGGAAATAAATGGGGGTTAAGTGAGTTATTGACTGATTATGTGATTTTTCCTACTTTAATTCAAACATTTTTGATCACCTGTTATACCAGTTCTCACATTGCTGCCTCTCAGCTCCAAGTTCAGCCTCTGGTCACTGCTCTGAGCAAATGGGCTGGCCCCTGTAACTCCTGTAAGCTGTGTACCTGAGGGACCCTGCAGGGAGATGGGAGCTTCTCTTACTGGTTTGGATCTGACTCCTGCCGCAGACTCTGCCAATGGGGGCAGTCAGTGATGCTCTCCCAGATGCGTGCCACAGTGTCTTGTTGCTTGGTGACCTTGCAGCCCTGGCCTTCACCGTGACTCTTCTGGACGCATGCACCAAGCACTCCAGGCCTTGCACTGGCAGCGGTGCTCTGACTCTACACACCTGCCGTCAGTCTCATTTACCTGTGCAGAGGGCAGCAGGCTGCTTTCTGCTGCCCAGCAACTGTGGGCCAGCTCCGGCACAGACAACTCAGCAAACTTTCCCGCTGCCCCGTGGGCTACGACCATGACTTCTGCAACGGGGCCTGAGCCCTAATCCTGGAGAGGGGCCCCGTCCAAGTATGTTCTTCCTTGGGTATTTCTTCTCTCTCAGCCTTAGGTACATTTTATGAGGAGAGTATTACTATTCCCAGTTTTCAAATGAGAAAACCAAAGCTCAAAGAAGTAAAGAGTTTTGCCCGAGGTCACACAGCCAGTCAGCAGGGAAGCTCGGATCTAGGGCAAGTCTCAGGCCTTCACCACCAGGCTCCGCTTTGGACTGCCTCTTGGCACCCAACCGAGAAGATACATATCAGGCAAAAGTACCCAGAAAGAAGAAATTGGAATCTGGTTCTCCTACTGCTACCTATAAAATGTATGTCCCCAAAGAGATGGGAGCTTTTCTCCTCATTGGGTAGCTGATGCTGCAGTGGAATCTACACAGGGACCCTACGGTTCAAACTCTGGTCTCCTTCATTAATGTGACACTTAACTCTTGCATTGCAATCAATGAAATACCACACAAGCACCTTTGCAGTAAACGTTTCAGGGTGGGGTTCCCACCACCTAAACAAAGCCACAAAAAATTACTCTGAGGACCTCATCGTCCTCTTCAGGCTTGAGATGACAAAGAGTCATAATTTCTGATAAATAAGTAATCTCCCAATGATTAGAGAGTTTAGGAGATGCTCTTAGGTTCTCAATAAGTACCTGCTGAATTAATGGAAAGCATTAGTGTCTGCTTTCCAAAATGGAATCTATGGCAGGAGTTTTGCTTACGAACTGACGTTAGTTTCCTTTCATGAGCCCCAGTTCTACTTCCGTGGCTGTAAGCACCCTAACTTTCCATAAATCCCAAAATAGGGTTCAGTGTGGAGTGGAAACCTCCTAGTATTGGCCAGTAGGCCCTATATTGGGAATACGGGTATTTGGGTTTGAATTCAGTTATCTCCTCTTTGTAACTTCGGGCAAGGCCCTACACCTCCTCTGGGTCTCCATGTCCTCAGGTGCAGAATAAAAGGCCTCGTCTAGATGGACAGGTATCAGAGAGCTGTGAAACATCCTGGAATTGTACCCAGAATTTGGGGAAATGTATTTTTCTGGAGACACTGACTACTTTCATGTGATTATCAAAGAGATATGTGGCCCCAGTGAAGTTGAGATCAAGTGACCCAGATCACCACTAACATTCCTTCTAGTTCAAGTGTCTGGGATGCTGAGTGATCTCTGGGTCAAGTCAGTCTCCCAAGTCTCCCTCTTTGGCTCAGTACTTCTCTGCCCCTTCACCCCACAGCCAGCTGATTTGGGTGGTGCACAGAGGGGCTGTGGCAGAGAAATAGGAAGTGTGGGTGGTCAGGATGTAGTGTAATCAGAGGCCACAGCTGGGGTGAAACAGCCTGATCTTCTTGCTCAGTTTAGGGCACGATCCAGAATTGAGCCAACACTGTTACAGACAGAGGCTTAGCCAGGCCTCCAGGGAAAACAGCAAGACTAAGTATTCATCTGGGCTTCCCCAGTGGCAGCAACAACTGCCAGGACTCTGGTCCAATCACCACCTCTTTGAGTAAGAGATCTGCCGAGATAGCTCCAGGACAAGATGTATCTTGTTGAAACATTATCAAGTAAAACTCCTCCAGGATCGCATCTGACACAGGTGTTATGCACCTTCAGGCCTTGGGCAGAATTTCTTTTTGAGATGGCAGTTGGGTTTGGGAGCTAACTGTGGTACTTTCCCTTATCCTCTATAATAACATTCCCATCTTTGGTTATTTATCAGACATGCCCACCTACGGATCATCTGCAGTAGGTTCCAGTGCCAATCTGGTGGATTCTCCTAACCCCTCCCACCACCAGGCAATGAACACCCCACAAAAAAACTCCTTTTAATATAAACTGAGCAATACTACAAGGAAAAGGCAAGTCTCCCAAGTAAATACTATCTTATAGATTCCAAAATAAAAAGTAAGCCCAGCCGATGTGGTTCAGTAGTTGAGAGTCAACCTATGAACCAGCAGATCACGATTCAATTCCTGGTCAAGGGCACATGCCTGGGTTTTGGACTCGATCCCCAGTAGGGGGTGTGTAGGAGGCAGCCGATCAATGATTCTCATCATTGATGTATCTAGCTCTCTCTCCCTCTCCCCCTTCCTTTCTCTGAAATCAATAAAAACATATTAAAAAATAAAAAGGGAGCAATTTTCCCTTTTTTGTAAAGCATTATGAACATTAAGTATCAAGCACCTTTAAAATCTTCATACAGTTTGACATAGTAAAGCTTAAGCTTTGAGAAGTTATCCAAAGAATTTTAAGTAAAAGGAAAGCATTATGCACAAAGATTTCCACTGCGACATTATTGTAACAGCAAGAAAAAAAAGAGAGAAAGCAAGCAAGCAGCTTAAATATCCCAGGATGGGAGAATGGCCAAGGAAATGATGATAAATCCATCTGATGAACTATTATGTAGCCATTAATAACTCCATTCTTAAAAAAGATTTTCCCAGAGGGTAAACATGGGGTGGGTGGGATGGTGAAATGGAGATGCCCCACAGTTAATGCAGGCAAATGCTGAGTTGTGAGGTCATAAGTCATGAGGGAAAGGTGCATTGAGAGATAATGGACTGTGTCTTAACAACCCACTAGACTTCTTCCATGGACAGGAGTTTCTCTCTAGATTGTGTACTCTGTCGTTTTGCTTCTTAAATTTTGTGTCTCTCTTGTTACAGCCCATCGAGGGAGGCCACTGTGTCTGACAGCTCTTCAGAAATCCACAATCCTGGGACTCAGATTCGGCAGCCCTTCTCTCTATAAAATAGTAACTTTTGTGGTTTTAGATCCAAGTTTAGATGGGAACTCTCTGTAC